CCTAGTAAACTAGATTAACGGTACTCTGTAAATATACATACATAACATTTAATATTCTGGCTTTCACTTTCATTCATGTTCGTCTTCAAACTTTCTAACACTAAAAAAATATTATTTCCATTTTGTATAAACATAATGATGACAACATAAATAACAAATAACACTGAACAATCAAATTTAGTTAAATCAGGTTTTTAGCGCTCTCACACGAAAACAAGAAGCAGAAAAGTACATAAATAAGTCATTTTAAGTATTTCGACATGATTCGATTGATTTCATTGAGTGATAATAGTTGCTAGTTTACCTTAATGTGTACATCAGCCCAAGCATGAATGAAAATACATGCATTTCCTCATGTTAGCATACAAGCCACAGCGAACAAACGCTTTATTTGATGTGTTTATTAATAAACAGAGGTGACGAAAACTCTGCGAAGGTCAAAGCACGCGACAATTACAGACTAAAGGGAATTTGCTGCAAGTCTAAAATTGTTCTCGTTGATGCTTAGGTCAGCTCTCTATGGGTCAGCTAAGCTAACAAGCTAAAGCAGCATAGCACAAGCATAAGCTTTGCGCCCCCACAGCTATGATCGTTTCCATGGCAGCAGAGTAACAACATCCTTTTCTGCTGCTGGATGAGTTACCGCGTTTACAACCTGACGTCACATATACTTATTTAGAAAAGCGGAAATTACGAGTTCACTTCTGATTAAGCTCAATTTCTGGGATGCATGACTGTTATTTCCCTGCTATAAAAGCAGCATGCTTACCGTAAAGTTATAAAATTCTTATGGGGTATTTGTTTGAAATGAAACGTGTTTAATAAGTGGATGTAATTAAATTTAATTAAGTGGAAAGTTTATGTAATTTGATATTGAATATATTTATGTTTGGGTCAAAATGTTATGTATACACTGACAAAGCACTTAACTATGTAAGTGTATCACGTCTGGTATGCTTGCATAGTGTACTTCCTGCCAGAGTTGTTATGACAAGTTAAGACTTAATTTTTTTTCAACCCAGTGATATAACTTCTCTTGAGGCGTACAGACGGCACAACAGCAGCTGACGCAACATGAAACAAGACACCTGATTCACGTGGTTTCTACCTGCCTGCTGTCACGTTCTAATTTGGTGAAATGATGCCTATTCTCTTATCATAAGGGTGCTTTAAGCACATATAAGATAAATGTATATGCTAAATACATTTTAAAACTGTGCGATCATAATTATTTCCATATATAAATAATTTTTTTTAGATAAAATTATTTTTTACATAATTATTTTATACTCAAACCCTGTTCAGTAATTTTTTTTGTTTTTTTTGCAAAACCATCAGCTGTCTATATGACATTATTAAACTACCAAACAGATTTTAAATTGTATATTAGGGTCATGACAATAATATATATACAATATATAATAATTATATATAATTAAATATAATTATACAAAAAAAAAAAAAAAAAAATATATATATATATATATATATATATATATATATATATATATATATAACTGTTTTTGTAAAAACTGTTTCGTAGAATAGAATATATTGTGAATGAATATGCTAAAATATACTTTTTATTATTCATTCTATTATAATCTTATATTCATGTAACATTCCTTTATTCTCTTTGCGGATTAGTCCCTTTATTAACCTAGGGTTGCCACAGCGGAATGAACCGCCAACTAAACCCACACTGGAAAACATTATGTTATGTAATATAATGAAAAAAAAATTAAATTGAATATAACTTTTACTATACACCGTGGATGATTCAGTTTATATGCAGGGGTGGACTTAACCAATAAGCAGCCGCTTAGGGCCCTGGGGAATTAGGGGGCCACAACCAGTGCCAAGAAACCTATATTAATTATACAGCCCCTTTTTAAAAATTTTCTATCATATGTTGTGAAATTTGACTATAAGCATTAAGATTTTAACGGTGTTACTTTTTTTAAACCCTGGGGCCTCCATAGTGCAACGTTTCTTTTTTACAAATATGGCTAAATAATATAGTTTGTTTGTAAAGTTTTTTTGTGTGAGTTTATTGTATTTAATTTTACATCAAGAAGATAAATAATCCACTTTTAATATATTTTAACATGCAGTTTATTTACAAATAAATAAAAAATCTACAGAGGACAAAGAGTTTTAATGCTAGGGCCCCATACCTGGTATTGCTTAGGGCCCCAAATTAATAAGTCTGCTCCTGCTTATATGAGGGTATGCACGCACGCGCACACACACACGCACACACATACATACACACACGCACACACACACACACGCACGCACACGCACACGCGCACACACACACACACACACACACACACACACACACACACACACACACACACACACACACACACACACACACACACACACACACACACACACACATATACATATACATATACATATACATATATATATATATATATATATATATATATATATATATATATGTAACACACACACACACACACACAAACACACACACACACACACACACACACACACACACACACACACACACACACACACACACACACACACACACACACACATATATATATATATATATATATATGTATATATATATATATATATATTCCTTGTTCAGTAGTTTCTGTACAAGTTCATCAGCTGTCTATACTATTACTATAAACTGTATTTAAACAAGTGAGTTACAAGGAAGTGTCATCATCGTCCTGTTTCACAACTGTCAGTTTTACCTGTGTCACTATGATGTGGGCAGGAAAATTACCAAGTAATATTTTTTTGCTCAGCACCCAGCTAATCTAGCCGGTGTTTCATATATGAAGGGACAGCCCGCAAATCCCTTTTAAATCCCTTGAGCACATGGTTTGAATGGGGATGATGAGAGGAAAGGAGAGCGGTGGGGAAACGCACGTAGTGCCCTCGTACAACGGCGCATCATTGGCTGCGCGTCAGCGACTCGAGTGATTCATCGGTGACAGAGAAACCGGCTACCGGCAGATCAGCGCTCTACAGCCACACAGAAAGATGTGTGCCGTGCGAACGTGATGGTCGTGGATCCAAGGAGCTTCATCATAGAAAAAAAAACCTCAATCGTAGAACATCGTTAAGGTATGTTTATGAGGACTGATGCCTTTAAATGCGTTCTGAGGTAACGATTGGGCGATTTATGCGCGTGCGTCGGGTTTTAGAGGGGATGCTGCATGCCGGTGGGCGGCTATGGAGATTGATTGACTGATGAAAAGTAACAGGTTTTTAGGAAGAAAGAAATGTATATAACATTCTTGTGTTGATAATGTTATGGATTATAAAAATGTCATATAACAGCACGTGTCATCGTTATACGCATACCTATACTGCCATGTTGTGAATATTTAGTTTACCGCACGTGGAGTGATAACACGTAAACCGTCAAGTAGTCACGTTTACTGTCAGTTAGTGCTGTACATAGAGGGGAAAATAAAGTCACACTTTTAGTGTAGTGGGTATTTACTGTATGTGGATTTATATTCTTGTGGCGGTGCCATCTTATTGGTGGAGCAGTGAGAGTATAAAAGTCACGTTTAGCACGTAGACCAGACAGCTCAGATACTTCAGATGCAGTTCATGCAAATATTTATTAACCCAGTGACAGGTATGGTACAATGAGTAACAGCTATAATGTTTTTTATAACATTTTAAGGTTCGTCTTGATCTGCAATTTTAAAAAGGCTAAGCTTTAAAGTAAAATTAAATAAGATACAACTTTATTATGTAGTTATATGAGCATTTTTGTAAATATGTATTTAAAATGTCCCCTTAAAAATGTCAAAAGAAAATTGTCATCTATAACGAGCAGTTGAGTGATACTTTATTTGCGTCTCATCCTCAAATGACCCAAACTGCTCCAGCAGCCTGTTGTCATAGTTACCACCCCAAGCAATCGATTATTTTAGGGTCATGTTACTATTAAGAGCTAAAAATAATAGCTGCTGGCATGTGCAGTTCAGTTCAGGTCTTGTGCAATCTACTAGTTAACAACATAAATCAGGTGTGTAAATTGAGGACCAGTGACCTTGCTGTGGGGGGAGGAAGGTCAGAGGGAGAAGGCAAATACGATATAGATCTGCCTTAAAGTGATAGTTCACCCAAATTACTTAATTCTATCATCATTTACACCATTTTAAAGCATGTTAAACAGAAAAGAGGATATTTTGAAGAAAGCTGGAAACAGCTGTAGCCATTGACTTTCATTGTATTTGTTTTTTTCCTCTTCTAATAGAAGTGAAAGGATTTCAGCTTTCTTCAAAGTATCCTATTTTGTGTTCAACAGAATAAAGTAACTAACAAAATGACTAAATAATCAATTAAAATGTCTGGGTGAACTATCTCTTTTCAGGAGACCTAAAAACTTTACTTCAATCAAAATAATTAATAAATAAAGTGATAAAATATTGTGATAAACTGAGAATCACCCACCTAAATTGGAATGATGTTGCATAGGTTTTAAGGTAGGATATACATAAATACAACTGATCACTAATCTTGCTATTGCACAGCTAACGACAGATTAGAATCAGCCCCTTTCACTAATTAGTATGGCCAAGACAAGAAGCATCCATAATTAACAAACAGCCCAGTACCAGCTGTGACCTGCTTCATACAAACAATTCAATGGCCGTACATAATTATATTGTCCATAATTTCCCTTTATAACTAACATATTATTCCTCTTTATCGTATTTTAATCCTAAATTAATATAAAAAATATATGGGTAAGAACAATATCCACTTATACTCAACAGCACGAGAGCTGATTCTGCTCACTGCAATCAGTCAGTAGCAGCAAAGACGATGGAAGCACATGGCCCAAATGTCAGAGTCTTAATTTAGGATGTATATCATGGCTCTGGTAGGGTACAGGGTTTTGTCATGGGAGGTATTCCCCCTTGAGTCTCCACCCACTGCTTGCCCCCTAGGAAAGGTAGATATGTGAGAGGTTGGGAAAGAGAGTCAGTTTTCAGAGACCCTAGGAGAGGTAGGTTGCACATACAGTACATTGGTTGCATGACTTGCTCTTGGCTAATATAGTTGCTTGACATCATAGCTGTTGGTTAACTAATTTCCACTGTATGGGTAACATGTTGCACAGCTTTGTTTCTGTTTAATTGCATACAACTAAATGCAAGTGTGTGTGTTTGTGTGTGTGTGTGTGTGTTTGTATTATTAGTAATCACTTTTTTTTAATCTATTTGAGTCAATTTGAGCTTTATTGTCATTGTGCTACGTGTGAACACGGTGTAATGAAATGTCATGTTTTGAAGGACCACTGTGCTACCTGTAAAGGGATAATTAACCCAAAACAAAGCTATTTTTAATCATTTATTCACCCTATACTACTTCCAAAGAGGTTTAACTTTCTTCTGTGAAAGCTGTAAACCTGTAACCATTGTCATCTCCCATAGTATTTGTTTCTACTATGGAAGTCAATGGTTACAAGTTTTCATATTTAAAAAAAAAAAATCCTATTGTCTTCAACATTAAGGTTTGAAACCACTTGAGGGTGAGCAAATTTAAATTTGGGTGAACTATCCCTTTAAAAATGCTTGGCTCTTCCATTGCTAGTGTGCTTTGTGTCTTGTCACACTGAGGTGTTTTTGATTTATCTTGATCTTTTAATTGCTATACTTATAATCTCATTCAACTGTTTTTGTCATTTTAAGTGTCCATATACATGCATATGGATCTTAATGCTGTATCTATGACCAGGATGTCCAATAGCTTGTCTTGAATGAGTGTGTATGTGCATTCATTGATCAGTGTCTTGTTTAACGAGTCCTATAACCCTCTTGCCCTTTAAAAAAGGTCAGTAAATGAAGACTGACCATTTTGACATTGCTTTAAATAGAAGTATTTGCTAAATTTCAGACTACATTGACCTTTTGTTGCAAATCCAATGTATTTAAGTAGATGTTTTCTATGGTACTTAATGTGTAGAAATAAGAGGAGAAATCTCAAGCATTAAGACAATCGTCTTAAGAAAGCTGGCCAACAGCTGTCTGGCAGCTCCTCGTGTTGAGAGACATTTGAAAGGGCATGATGTTTCAACATTGCTTAGTAGGTTAGAAAAGTGTTTGCTAAATCTGGTCCTGGAGCACCCCCAACCTTTCACTTTCTAGATTCCTCAATCTAACACCTGTGATTTCAATGCATTAGCTGTGGCAGTATTTCATGATCAGAACTGGCAAACTCTGTTTTAAGGAACATGGTTTGCGGATCGATTTTTAAAATGCAATAAAGTGCTAGTCATGCTTTTTTTTTTTTTTTTTTTTTTTTTTTTTTTTTTTTTTTTTTTTTTTTAAATATGCTTTGTGTATACTTGTGGCTGTGAGTATTACAACTAACATGTTGCACCCAGAATTACGAGAGCAGCTCTTGGCAGGAATATGAATGAGGGAGGGTGTGAATTCTGTATGCAGGGAAACTGAAAAAGATCTTGCTGTACTGAGATGTTAAGAGAACAAGCTGTGTAAGGCTTACTTTTGGCAATTGAGTGGTAATGATTCTTTAGCAGTATCCAGTTGAATGTGGTTAAAGCATTTTTTGATGACTCAGACTGAGTTCTCTGTACATTTGCATGACTTTACTCTTCAGTGAAGATTAGGACTGGCCGATTTTTATGCCCAAAAAAAATCCGGATTAATGATAATTTCCCTTATTGAATGATGACGTTATACATTTTGATAGAAGTTGTTAATGCTTCCAGATTTAAGAGTACCCCAACAATAACTGAGGTCACAAAAATTAAAGGGGCCATTAAGTGGCATAACATATTTTTGGCCGATAATTTTTTGGTGGCTGAATTTGGTACATCTTTAATATATCTTAGGCCTGCAACTAACTATTATTTAATAATCGATTAGTCTGGTGCTTTTAATTTATTTAAAAAAAAATAATAATAATTAATTTAAATTACATTTTTTTTCTTTCCCTCAATTAATCAATAAATTGGATTTAAAAAAACGTTAATTTCCAACCCTTTATTTAAAAATGGAACAAATCTTTAGAAAGTGCACAAACATGTTGTCCTTGAACATCACTGAGCTGTTATGATGATGAGGATTATGATAACAAAATTTAGTAGTCCTGTTTTTCAATCTAAATATCTTTAAAAAAAATTTAAGATAAATTAAGATGCATGTCAACTAGACACATGAAATAATATAAGAAATTCTGCTTTGCTTTCTGAAAAAAAAAAAAAACTCAATTTAATTGATTGTTTGCTGTAAAACAATCTAAATTACTTGCCAATGGGGTAAGACAAAAATTATCTTAATGAGATAAAATCTCAAACAAGTTTTATTTGTCACTTTTCTCGTGCCATTTTTCTCGTCTCTATTTTAAGATTTTTAGATATTTGGAGATTTTTAGATATTTGGACTAGAAACGAGATGAAATTACTAAGTAAGAAACTGTTTTTACAGTGAAGCTTGACAACAGATGGAAAAATTAACGATCCAAAAAGGCAAGTGAATAAACATGTCTTTAGTCTTGCAATGCAAAATAACTATAGCACCGCTGCTTTCCATCTGTTATTAACCCTTTCACTGGTGAGTTTAAAAGATTCTATCTGGCCCAGGGAGTGAGTTTTGTTCATTATTTTAGAATGTTCACCCTTAATGTTTGTGGCGACATGTCATGTTTGTCATGTGACACGCATGTTTGCATTTCAGGTGCTGGATCATTGCCCTGGTGCTCTTGTCATCTCTTCTGCATATTTGGCCATTAACACACTTTACTTGGTGTGAAGTGCTCTCATACCTTGGATGACTAGGGTCGCACAGATTTCTCTGCTTTTGCCATGTATCTTTCCTCTAACATTTATCTCCGCTTAAAGTTATTTATTAATAATCAGTTATAAAATTCGTTGCCAATGCTTTTTAGTAATCAATTTGTTGTTGCAGCCCTAATAGCAACACTTTTTGATTACCATTGTTGCACATTTCTGCTATGCGATTTGGCTCTTGTCTTGGATCAATATAGAAAATGTCCAGAGCTTACCATTGTTATTGATACAAATTTTATCAGGATTAGATATCGTTTATCGGCCCAGCCCTAGTGTAGATGTGGAAGTGTTGGAAAATTTTTAATTATTATTATTATTTTTTAATAAATTATCAAACTTGTTTTTGAAGTGTTTGAGGCTCATACAACTTAAAATTTTAATAGAAAATTTTAACTTCCCTTTTTCTTTCCAGTTGAGCCCTAGCTGTACAGATCATCATGGGTGGAGCAGTTGTAGACACTGGTGACAGCGGAGTCAAAGCACCGGATGGAGGATGGGGTTGGGCTGTCCTCTTCGGCTGCTTCATCATAACTGGGTTCTCCTACGCTTTTCCAAAAGCTGTCAGCGTATTCTTCAAAGAGCTTATCCGGGAGTTTGGAGTGGGCTACAGTGACACGGCTTGGATCTCCTCTATCCTTCTTGCAATGCTTTATGGCACAGGTACGGACCGCAATGATGTACAAGAATGTTTTTTGGCTCTAGTACAGGTATAGGCGAACTTGATCCCAGATGACTGGTGTCTGAGTTTTGCTCCAACACTAATCAAACACAATTGAATATGCTAATTAGTGTTTTAGTGAGCACTAGAAAGGTACAGGTAGATGTGTTTGGGGTTGGAGCGAAACAATGCTGGATACTGGTCCTGCAGGACTCATCCCTGCTTTAGTACTAGGGGTTTTCAGACCCTAAAATGTCTATATGCTGTGGTCCCCATCTCCAACCTCATTTCTAAAAAGCCACTGACCTGTAGAGATTGGCTCCAATGCCTGAAAATAACTGGACTTTGTAATCGAGCTATTCTGACTCAAGAAATGGGGAAAGTATTTTGGTACTGAACGAAGTTCTTAACCGGGACCCCTGTTATTTGGGTGTCTTTGGATTGCGTTAGTTGCGTTACCTAAAATTGTGTGCAATATTTAATCCGCCATGAATATCAGAGATCTAGCTTTTCGTTGACTGAATTTTTGGGGGATCTCCCGAATGCATTAATTGGTTGCTATGATCTTTGCCAATTTTGGTGAACAATGACAAATGTGATGCACCTTTAGCATTTAAAAGTCATGTCGGTGTTCCTTTTTATTGGATTTCTAACCATGGTCTGCTTGTTACAGGGCCTTTATGCAGCATCCTAGTGAACCGATTTGGGTGTCGCCCTGTAATGATGGTTGGAGGTCTCTTTGCTTCATTGGGTATGGTCTTGGCATCATTTGCAACCAACATCATCCACATATATCTCTGCACTGGAGTCATCACAGGTGAGCACTCTTCTCATTTCTATAATGGTTCTGAAGTGCTTGACTTCAACATTAACATTCAAATATAATGTACTCCAGGTTTGGGCCTTGCTCTGAACTTCCAGCCATCCCTCATCATGCTGAACAGATACTTCAGTGAGAAAAGGCCCTTGGCCAATGGGCTGGCCGCAGCTGGAAGTCCTGTGGCTCTGTGCTGTTTGTCTCCACTTGGGCAGGTTCTGCAATACAAGTATGGCTGGCGTGGAGGCTTCTTGATCCTTGGAGGCTTGCTGCTCAACTGCTGTGCATGTGGAGCCCTCATGAGGCCCTTGTTGGCACCCAAAAAGACAAGTGAAGTGGAAGAAAAACCAAAAGAAACTAAACCAAAGCCCAAGCTCCTTGACTTCACCGTCTTCAAAGATCGTGGCTTTTTGATTTACACCATTGCTGCATCCATTATGGTTCTAGGTCTTTTTGTGCCTCCAGTGTTTGTGGTAAGCTATGCCAAGGAACTGGGCAATGAGGACACCAAGTCTGCCTTGTTGCTCACAATATTAGGGTTTATAGACATCTTCGCCAGGCCCACAAGTGGGATCATTGCTGGGCTCAAGTGGGTGAGGCCACGATGCGTTTACCTCTTCAGTTTTGCTATGATCTTCAATGGCATTGCTGATATTCTCGGCTCCTTTGCCAAAGACTATGCATCTCTCGTGGTGTTCTGCATCTTCTTTGGGATCTCCTATGGGATGGTTGGAGCCTTGCAGTTTGAGGTGTTGATGGCCATTGTGGGAACTGAGAAGTTTTCCAGTGCCATTGGCTTGGTGTTGTTGGTCGAAGCCATTGCCGTGTTGGTGGGACCACCCGGAGCAGGTTAGTTCCTCACTTTTATTATTTTTTTTATTATTATTATTTTTTTTTATCTGTGTTTATGCCTCTCTATTGATCAAGAGTGTCCAATCCTGCTCCTAGTGGGCAACTGTTCTGCTCAATTGGACTCGTACAATAATCAAAGGCACACTAGAAGTTATGAAGCAAATTGGAACTAAATTCTGCTGGACGAATACACGTTTGACCTATTGACTACAGTAACCGTAAACCAATGACTCTTGTGTACTTTTAACAACCTTTTGTAGGAAGGCTTTTTAGTTATGCAATACTATATGGTTCCTTATTTAGAATGTTTTAGACCCCTGAACTACTGCACTGTAGTTCTCCTAGCATTGGCAGCTGCCGCTAATAGATCACCCCATGACCTGTCGTGGCCACCACCACCACAATTCAATCCATGTGGGGAGTTCATATCATAGTTCTCCTGTTTCATTTCACAGGTCGCCTCCTGGACGCCACAAAGAACTACATGTACGTCTTCATGTTGGCCGGGTGTGAAGTGGTCCTCTCTGCACTTGTTCTGGCCATCTGTAACTTGCTCTTCATCAAAAGGAAGCCCCAACAGCCTGATCCACCAGCCAAGATGGAGATGGCCATTACAGAGACTGAGATGGAGGAGCTCAACAAGGCACCAAAGGACGACCAAGACAATGGAGGCGGTGCAGAGAATGAAAAGAAACAAGCCATCGAACCGGAGACCAAGACAACCTCTAAGGATGAGGTCAAAGAGCTTGAAAGCATAGAGGTAGACTCAATAGAGGTGGAAAATGCTTCCAAAAAAGTGTCCGGACCAAATGGTGTGGCCGTAGAGCCAGAGTCCTCTCTGTGAAGATGCTAGAACAATAGAAAGGAAGGCACTTCCCCTGTAGGACTCATGGATGTTTGATGTTGTGGTGTATGCTTTTTGTATCACGCTTCCAGTGTGGTTGCAGAGGACCGCTTTCAGACCTGCTCTGCAGATCAGATGTAGCCCATGCATCGAGAGATATCGATTTTTAAGGCTGGTTACTGCCTAGTGGACAAACAGGCTTTTAAAAAAAAAATTTTGGTCAGGATTCACTCCACATCAGAGCAGGTCATCAACATTATACTGAAGATTACCAGCTTGCTTCAACAGTATGTGGCATTCAGTGATTGCTAATGTGGATTGTTGGTTTGTATCCTTATCTATTTTTTTAGTTTTTTTAAACCGTTTCTGGGAGAGCATAGATTTTAAAGGTCATGATAGTCCTGCATTTCAGACAAATCCAATCGGACTAACTCAAGTCTTTAAACTAGACTTGGTTCTAGAGCAGGGGTGTCAAACTCAATTCCTGGAGGACCGAAGCCCTGCACAGTTTAGTTCCAACCCTGCTCCAACACACTTACCTGTAGGTTTCAAACAAGCCTGAAGGACTCAATTAGTTTGATCAGGTGTGTTTAATTAGGGTTGGAACTAAACTGTGCAGAGCTGCGGCCCTTTTGAAACTGAGTTTTACACCTGTGTTCTAGAGCAAGGGTGTCCAACTCCATTCCTGGAAGACCACATCTCTGGACTTTAACCTAATTTAACTGAACTGATCAAACTGAGTTCTCCAGCTTTGTTTTGAAGCCTACAGATAAGCGTGATGAAGGATTGGAACTAAACTTTACAGAACTGCGGCACTCCAGGAACTGAGTTTGGCACCCTTATTCTAAAGGAATGTAGGGAATTCAGATATGTATTTTTGTGACTCAAAGTATATAACTGTTTGAAGACAAGCTTCTATTTTTTTATAGTCGTTTTTATTTGCTCTTAATGTTAGTTTTTAACTTTTCTGGTGTAGATGATCAGTATTTATCAAAGTGTTGATGTCAGTTGAACACTACACTTTATATTTGTGTATATATATTCATCTAAATGTCAGTGTTTTCAGACCAACTGCATCAATCAGATGGAGAGGACCACAGCTTGTACTTTTTTGATTTATGTAGGTTTATTTAAAAGCATTTATACTAGTTTGTTCAACACTGACTTGTTTTTGGGAGGGATATTATTTTTGTAAAGGAACCTAATGGTACGTTAAAATGATAAAAACGACGGTACAGAAACTTCTAAACTATACCTCATTTTCGCTTTCACCAGCAGTTTGTGAGTAGGGACCCTCTTCTGTGTTCAGACACTTGAGCTATTTTTTGGTTGTGCCTTAAGTCTTGTAGTGGTACACAATTTGTGAAATTTAAAAAAATAAATGCACCCTCTCCACTCCCATCTTGACTCATTTTTATGGTGTATCCAAAGAATGTTAATTCATTTATCTTTTTAAAACCTGATGTCAACATGATTCAGTCGACTGTCACTAACATTTCAATTAAAACTGATTCACTACATTACTGAGAATAAACAGAATGGTCTGGAATTTTTAGTTGCTAGTTAGAATTGCACATATTAGGATGTAAAAATTGTATATGACCCTATGGTTTACTTGGAAGAGCTGGTTGGAACTAGTCCAGATCCTATTAGCCTAGGATTTGTGTAGTATTTTCAGTTCGGTTGAGCTGGTGTCCATCTGTAAAGGCATCAAACCTTTAACACCTTAAGTAGTGGTTCATTTGAAACATCGAGATGAATGCGGTGATCAATCCTCCTTATTTATGACCGTTTACATAGTTTCTTTCCAAATCTGTAATTCTTTTAAACGGTGAGAGATTTTGCATCGCTTCATTAAAAGTCTGTTCATGCAATTTCATAATAGATCAAAAAAATCTTGAAGTTTAATCTAAGTCTTCAGAAAAGACATAGCCATACATGAAGAGTTTGACTTGTCATCTGAAAATAAAAACGAATGTGATTTTGAAGCTCAAACTTGCTGTGTTGCACAAGAATTAACGTCTGGTTTCAACATGTCAGACAAGTCTGCTAGAGTTTGAGTAAACAACTGAATCCTGCAAATATTGGTGGTGAGAATGGCCTAAATTTAGTTCTGTTTATTTTCCCAGAGATGGGTTGCGGCTGGAAGGGCATCCGCTGCAAAAAACTGTGCTGGATAAGTTGGCGGTTCATTCTGCTGAGGCGACCCGAGATTAATAAAGGGACTAAGCCGACAAGAAAATGATGATGATAGTTCTGTTTATGTAGAGCAAATGTCTCTTTATTTCTCTGAATTAACTGTTTCATTAAGTTTTAGTAACGTACCTTTAGTAAAAAGGTTAGTAATCTTTTTAAAGCAGCGTTTTAGGTATTTATTTATTATTATTTTTTTTATAAAGAGACCAAACCCTTTGCATCAATTTCTTTATGATGTGCTTACATTGTTATGGTGGTGAATGTCTTGAGGGTTTGGATTATACCAGTATTAGTATATAAACATTCTAAAATGTAACCTTAAGGTAAACTCCATTTTACACTCAAACTCAGGCCTCTTTACGACAACCTGTCATTAATAATTTTCTTTAAAGGTGCAGTATGTAAGTTTGTGACTCTTCTAAAGCATAAATATACCATAATGTTTGCAGGTATTTAAGAAACATGCCAAGTGAACATTCTTGTTTATCTGAAAAAAGTGAAGTGAGATATTCCGCTTTAAAAACGTAAATTACCTGCCTGAACGCTGTCTTGTTTTTTTTTTTAACTCACCCAATTTCAGTTTATCCAAATGTCTTTCAGCACCCAGGGTTGTCTCGATATAAAACCGCGTATTTTATTAATTCAGTCATACTGTCAAAGCATGCATCCGTGACCGAAATGCGACCTCCAGTGGACAGTAGCAGCATCCGAAATGAGATGCACATGAGGTGGTTATTAATTAGCAAATAATATAAATATTACGAGCGTAAACATTAGGTTTGCAGGTTACATTGTAACCCTGTGTCCTAACACACGCTACGTGATGAGATTTGCAGTGATAAGCAATTTAGCTGTTTGCACCAGACGAAACATGATCAATTTAAATGCAGTTATTTAGAAGCACACTACACAATAGTGCACTACAGCGAAATGGTAAGGTTTATAATCCAATTAGTACATATTAAACCTCTTCAATATTATTAAACGTAGATGCTGAGTCAAAAATATATGGTGGTTTACATTAGTTTATAGTTCTCAATTTCAAACACTTGTTTCTGCCGTTTGCCTGTTGAACTAGTTTGCCTATTGTAGTTATCCATCACATAAAGAGTATTTTCTAAGCACAACATTGGGCTACAGTCTATGCCGGGGGTGCCACACGTGGTCCTAGGGGGACCTGAAAAGTTTAACTCAAGTTTCATTTTTGACACACCTAATTCAGTTCTTATTCATACGTACATATATAAGAAAGATGAAGCTAAAATCAGGACGTTGGAACTTCAGGGCCAAGGAATGTCAATTTTTATTTAATGTTATTTTATATTATATAACAATTATTATATTATATAACAATTCAATTCATCTTTATTTGAATAGCGCTTTTACAAAGTATATTATGTTAAAGCAGGTTCACATAGAAGTTTATAGTAAATTGAAACAGTGTAGTTCAGTTTTCAGAGTTTAATTTCAAGTTCAGTTTAATCAGTTCAGTGTGTTTTAATATTCACTGCTGAGAGTCCAAACACTGAACTGTAAATCATCCAAATAACACTTAAAACCGCTTTATTTCGTTAATATTTGTTCTTCAACCATATTTGCTTTCATATCATTTGCTATCATTCTCACTCATTTACGAGGCGTTTGCGGTGTCTTGTTACCATAGTTACAGTATGATGTGTAGAACGTCATTTAGAACGCGTTCCAGTGGAATACTTTTGGCTGTGCAGCTCAGAGAATCTTTTGTTGGTTTGTAATAGTGGCGGTTGATATTTCAGTTTCATCAAACAGCGATTTTTCATCAAAAATGTCTTGCTTTCTGTTCAGAAGAAAGAAAAACATGAAGGAAACACCTGATTGTGAGTAAACAATGAGTGGAGAGCGGGAATGAAAGTACTGTTTATTATAAAAACTTATTTTTAGGTAATGTTTAAGACAGAAGTATATTTTTGCTGTGGTTACTAACTCATATGTGCGGTCTATCAATGTCAAGTGATATTTTTAACCATGCAGTGTAGAACAACTTTAAAATAACTATTATTAATTTTAAGTTTTTTTTAAGTAATTTTAAGGTTCTCTCCTGGGACAGCATGCCAAACCAGCTATTATTATCAAGCAATATCGAAGTGTGAACTCTTGAATTTCTCATTTAATAGGTCTGGAGGAGGAGAGAAAGAAGGAGAGGGAGGAGGAGAAGAAAAAGAAGGAGGAGAAAAAGAAGGAGAAGGAGGAGAAGGAGAAGAAAAAGAAGGAGGAGAGGAAAAAGAAAAGAAGCAGGATTGCTTCCTTCTTCAAATCAATGTTCTGCCTCTCTCTGGGTAATTCAACAGAAACATGCTATGATGATGAATACTCATATTTACTTCTAGATACATTTTAGACTGTAATGCTTTAAATAAACTGTACTTCATTACCTGGTCTTAGAGTTGACGTCTGCAGGAAAATGACTGTGGACAATGTGTAAACTGCAATCATTTCTCTTTTAACAGATGTGGAGGAGAGTATAATGGTGGTGGAGGAGGACAAAAATCAGGGAGAAAACTTGGAGGAGGAGCAAAAAACACTCCCCATGTCAACAGAACAAAGTTCTGATGGTAAATCAACATATATACGTCTATATATATCAATTTGTCACTAATGTTATAATAAATTTGTTATTCTAAATTGTTATTTTCTCCTCATCTGGAATTGAACATCCTCTGAATGTGTAAACTGCAATCATTTCTATTTTAACAGATTTTGAAGAAGACATCATGAAGGAGGAAGAGGAGAACTTGAAAGAAGAGGAGGAAAGAAAGATTAAGGAAAAAACTGTGAAAGAGAAAGAGACAATAAAAGAGGAGGAGGAGGAAATGGAGAGAGTTAAGGTGGAGGAGAAGATGGTGCAGACAGAGGAAGAGGAGATGGAGGAGGTGAAAATCAAGAAGAGAAGGAGGAGGAGGATAATGAAAGAGGAGATAATACAGGAGGAGGAGAATATAATTGAGGAAGAGGAGGAGGAGATGAGTGAGGAGGAGGACAAGAAAACTCAGGAAGATAAGTGGAAGAACAAAAGACGGAGAAGGGGGAGAAGTCATGGAAAGAAACAGAAGGAGACGATAAAGGAGGGGAAGAAGAAAAAGGTTGTGAAAAAGAGGTCAAAGAAGGAAAGACAGAGGAGGAGATGGAAAAGTAAGAGAATGAATTTAGAGTGGATGAACAAAGAGGACGAGAAGATCAAGAAGGATTGGGAGGAGATACTGAAGGAGGAAGAGGAGTATGTTGGGTGTTATGTGAAGTCAGCATTACATGCTAAAGCACAGACTGTTTTGTTGCAGTGTGGGGGTGACGGACTGTATAAAGTGTTATAAAGGGCTGGGGGCTGACTTTCCTTGTTTTTGTTCAATGTTAAATAAACTGAATGCAAAACTCAAATACTGTCCTTGTCATTTTTTCACATGTTTTATTTTCACGCTTTCTCTCCTTTTTATTCTGATAGAGGTGAAATAGTGATATGCGTTTGTTTAATGTTCAGCCACTTGAATAAAAAATGACAATCAACATCCTCATATTGTATTTAATTGAGGTTTAAATATTCAATTTTAGTGACATTTTATGCAGGAATTTGTGTGCTGCACTTGCTGCTGGTTTTTTGACTCTTTGTATTTGATTATCTTTTTTATATACACAATTATGCCATCAAACTGTTGTGTTAACGTAATATCACATGAGTAATGTGATGTGGCTGTATATCGTCACTGGTGGGACACTAAGGCACAACACACGCCTCCCAGCAGTGCTAATATACAGCCACATCGCACTGCTATTTGTGTGATGTGGCTCATATATATATATATAATTATAATATATATAATATAATTTCTCAATTTTATAAATAATAAATAGACATGATTTGATTTAAATTATCAAAAAGAAAAATGTAATTAAAAACCTCCTGCTATGCAACATGTTTCACAAAATTAAATAAATAAAAAAATACATCAATATTTATTGACTTGCAGTATTATATCTCTACACATCTAGTTTCAGTGCTCAAAGTTTCAGATATTCAACTTTAAATGTCTCAGAATGGTTAAACCGGTCCTGTTTAAAACTGAATTAAACAAATCAGTTGCAATGTTCTTTTCTAAAACAAACATAACAAATAATCTAACAGACGTCTATGTGGCACAAAATACAAATTGTATCTGAATTTATATATCTTG